TCCAAACAAAGAAAATCTGAGCCCATAGTCTGTTATATGTGGTTAGAAAAAACGTGTGAGAGTCCTAAGAATGAAACAGAACAAAACCAAAAAGACTAAAGATCACATGAAAGTCAGTCAAAGAAGATGTATAATGTACTTACATATACAAGGTGATCAGCTCCTTGAATTCATTCAGCCTACAGCTGAATTCTTTTTCATGTCTGTATTTTCCTCACCACAGGGAGGAAACACAGACTCTGCAGCCCCTGCAGTCAAATACGGTTCTGTGGGACAGGGGGGAGAAGAAAGTAGAGAAACCTCAACAGGGAATTTCCAAATCTGTGAAGAATCAAGTAGAAACAGTTGCAAAGCATAGCATCAATTTATAGAAATTTAAACCTGATGGAGCAGAGTAGTAGAAGTGAGTATTACATAGAACTAGAGGGGAGCACAGCAATCAAAACGGTAAGCAACGCAGACAGCTCTAACCGCACATTTTCACCTGACTGCCTTAAACAAAACAGGCTTAGGATCCCCACTGCTCACTTCACCCTGGAATAGTCCTATTCCTTGTCTGAAAGCTGCTGTGCATCTGGCTGAGGACAGATACAATCCACACAAGGAGCAATCAGAGCTGAATGCCACACTTTTTCCTTGGTGAAGTTTCCTTGGAAAAAATACGTAATTTTTTAAAATAACTTGTTACTGCAAGAACCAGGAAGAAAAAGTCCCTGACAGGTTGACTGGAACTTCCCAGCTGTGGTAAAATCATCTACCCTCTGTACCCCCACTCCCCAAAAGCCAGCAGCATAGCTTGGGTGGGTGGAAAGGCACGTATCAGACCTTGGGGCCGAGAGAAGGGTACGAGCATCTGCCACGGGAGCTGCATCCAACCAGGAGCACTCCCCACTTTCTTCTCTGACAACAAAGCCCCAGTGCATGCTCTCACCAGGAGGGAGAAACAACTTCCATGTCTGGAAATTCCCATTTATCAAAGGCTGTCAACAGGGATGGGGTTGTCCGTGAGCATGAGACCCACATGAAGGCCTGGGGACAGCAAAGGCACCTGGCCTGTCCCCACCAGAGCATGCCTGCTCCAAAGCTTGGAGCTGCCTGTTGGAGAGGAGGCCACTCTACCTAGGGAAGGGAAGGGAAGGGAAGGGAAGGGAAGGGAAGGGAAGGGAAGGGAAGGGAAGGGAAGGGAAGGGAAGGGAAGGGAAGGGAAGGGAAGGGAGCTGCTAGGAGGGGAGCTTCCCTGGATTTGCTCTGGATTGGCAAGTGTTTCTGAAAATGCAGGTCTGTCTGTGCTGCCAGCCACAGCCTGGGCAGGAGAAGCTGTGTGATGGGAGCTGCTCACAGCAGCCAGACTGGAACCTGGCAGGAGACAGAGCTCTGCTCCCGGTCACACCACCCATGCTGAGCCTAGCACTCAGGGCCTTCCTCAGGCTTTGCTTTCCCCTGGGCAATGAGGGTGAGAGACACCCTGTCCTGGTGTGGCCCAGGGAATCTTCCTGTGGCCAGAAAGAAGGACAGAGCCTGTCACTCTTCCCACAGGGGCTGGCCACTGTCCTTCACTTCTGTCCTGGGGCTCCCCAGTGCCAGAAGGCCCCACAGAGCTTCAGGGCCAAGCAGATGCCTTTTGGGCATCTCCGAAGCCAAGGTGTGGCTGCCTCTTTGCTTCTGCAGATGCAGTTGTTTGCTACCCACTTAGTGGTGAAAACGGTTTCTCTTCATGGCACATGGACTGAACAGAATCCACTTCCCTGTTAGTCTGGGAGGATCAGGGAAACACGAGGAAGTCACAGAATGCACGCAGGTATGAGGAAAGTGAAAAGGAGCCATGTCAAGGTTTTTCTGCTGTTTCAGATCTGAACTCTGACAGTTGTTTGAATCCCAGCACCAAAGTCAGTTTTGTTTCCTCCAAGCTGCACAGCTTTTCACCAGCAAAAGTGAGTTGGGCTGAGCTGGACTTCAGGATAACTTGACTCCTTTCTTTTTTAATTGTGTGCCTACAGTTTCCTTTTTTTCCAGCAATTTCTCTCTTTCTTCCCCCCCAGTTCCATCCTCTTTCAAAGGTAATTATGATTTGACTTTCTGGACAGATCATCAAGTAGGTAGACAGAGGATATACATATAGTCTGGTCTATACCTTCAGAGCTGTAGGCTGAGCTATTCTACCTTTAAAGGCTAGATAGAGCTGGGCTATGGGTAGAGTTACTGTTTTCCAGTTATTATTTCTTTTGGGGTCCTGTGACAGTGATGGTAAGGTCATCAGCCTGCAGCTCTGCAGCAGTTAAAACTAGCACTGAAAGAGTTTTGATGGCAGATGCTGTTCTGTGTGTTTCATTTTCAATAATCATTTCATTGAGCTGGAATTATTTCTGTGTGATTAGGTGATGAGGTTCTTCTTGCACCAGTTTTCTGTTTCTGGAGCATGTCCTGACAGCATTTGTCATCCAGAGCTTTCCGATCTGTTCCCAAGAGAAGTGATGGCCACGATGTGGAACGACTCCTGTGAGTAATGGCTTCACCAGTAGGCTTGGATTTAGTGAATCCCCATGGACAAACAGATATAGCATAGATATATTCTCTTCCTCTTCCCTGTTCTTCTTCTTCCTCCTCCTGCTCCTCCTCCTCTGGTTCTTCCTCCTCCTCCTCCTTCTTCTCCTGTTCTTCTTCATCTTGTTCTTCCTCCTCCTCCTGTTCCTCCTCCCCCCTTCTGTTCCTCCTTATCCTCATCCTCCTCCTGCTGTTCATCCTCTTCCTCCTCCTGTTCTTCCTCCTCCTGTTCTTCCTCCTCCTGTTCTCATTTCTCCTTGTCCTCCTCCTCCTTTTCTTTCTCCTCCTTTTTTCCTTCCTCTTCATCCTTTTCTTTATTTCCCTCCTCCTGTTCCTCCTCCTGTTCCTCCTCCTCCCCCGCTTCTTCTCCTGTTTGTCTTCCCCTTGTTCCTCCTGCTCTTTTTCCTCCTCCAATTTCTCCTCCTCCTCCTGTTCATTCTCTTCCTCCATTTCTCCTTCCTCTACCTCCGGTTCTTCTTCCTCCTCCTCTTGTCCTTCCTTTTCCTTGTTATGTTCCTTCTCATACTTCTCTTCCTGCTCTTGTTCTTCCTGTTCTTCTTGTTCTTTCTCATGTTCTTCATCCTGTTCTTCCTACGGTTCTTCCTCCTACTTCTGTTCTTTTTCTTTCTCCTCCTTTTTGTCTTCATCGCAGTTTTTCCTCCACCTCTTCTTCCTCTTCCTTATTCTCCTTCTCTTTCTCCTCCTCCTCCTCATACACCTCTGCATGTTTATCCTCTGCATGTTCAACCTCCTCCTGTTCTTGTTCTTCCTAGTCCTTCTCCTTATACCCCCCCTTCTCCTCCTCCTCCAACTCATCCTCCTCCTATTTCCTTCTGTTTTTCTTCTTCCTCTTCCTGTTATTCTGTTTACCCTCCTGTTCTTTATCCTCCTCCTCCTGTTCTTTGCTTTTTTCCCACCTTCTCCTATTCTACTTCCTCCTCTTCCTTCTCCTTCCCCTTCCTTCACCTCCTTCTCCTGTTCTTCACCCTCTTCCTCCTCCTCCTCTTCATCTTCTCCTACCTCACTCATATTCCTCTTTTTCTTTCTCCTCCTCATCATCGTGTTCTTTCTCCTGTTCTTCCTTCTCCTTCTTCTCCTATTCTTAATGTTCTTCCTCTTATTCCTTCTCCTCCTCTTCTTCTTTCTCTTCCTCCTCATCCCCCGTTCCCCATCCGTTCTTCTTCCTTCTCCTCCTTCTCCTCCTCTTCCTTGTCTTATTCCTTTTCCTTTTCCTATTTCTCCTCCTCTTGCTCGTTTCTCATCTTTCTCCTCCTCATCCTATTCCTTTTCATCCTCATCCTATTTTTTCCTCCTCCTTATCCTCATCTTCCTTCTTGTGTTCCTCATTCTCCTCTTCCTCCTCCACCTTTTCCTCCAACTTCTACTCATCCGTTTCCTTTTGTTTCTCCTCATCCTTTTCTTGCACTTTCTCCTTGACTTGAGATTCAGTAAGGCTCAGTGCCGGGTCCTGCACTTGGATCATAACAACCCTATGCAACGCTACAGGCTTGGGGAAGAGTGGCTGGACAGCTGCCCAGCAGAAAAGGACCTGGGGGTGTTGGCTGACAGCCAGCTGACTATGAGCCCGCAGTGTGGCCAAGAAGGCCAGTAGCATCCTGGCTTGTATCAGAAATAGTGTGTCCAGCAGAACTAGGGAGGTGATAGTGCCCCTGTACTCGGCACTGGTGACGCCGCACCTGGAATACTGTGTTCAGTTTTGGGCCCCTCACTACAAGAAGGGCATTGAGATGCTGGAGAGTGTCCAGAGAAGGGCAATGAAGTTGGTGAAGGGTCTAGAGCACAAGTCTTATTAGGAGCGGCTGAGGGAGCTGGGGTTGTTTAGTCTGGAGAAGAGAAGGCTGAGGGGACACCTTATTGCTCTCTACAGCTACCTGAAAGGAAGTTGTAGCGAGGTGGGGATCGATCTTTTTTTCCCAAGTAACAAGTGATAGGACAAGAGGAAATGGCCTCAAGTTGTGCCAAGGGAGGTTTAGACTGGTTATTAGGAAAAATTTCTTCACTGAAAGAGTAGTCAGGCATTGGAACAGGCTGCCGAAGGAAGTGATGTATAACAAAAGTAGAGGTGGTGCTTAGGGACCTGGTTTAGTGGTGGACTTGGTAGTTTTAGGTTAACAGTTGGACTCAATGATCTTAAGGGTTTGGCCAACCTAAATGATTCTGATTCTGACACACGTCCTGAGCACAGAGTGCAATGTACAGTGTTCACATACACACAGAGTGCATGCATATGATCAGAGGATGGAATGCCTCTCCTATGAAGAAAGGCTGAGAGAGTTGGGGTTGTTCAGCCTGGAGAAGAGAAGGCTCCCGGGAGACCTTATTGTGGCCTTTCAATACTTAAAGGTGACTTGCCAGGCAAAGCATACACCAGGGTATGTTTGGGCAGTTGTGACAGGGCTGCCTGTGCTGCTGGGGGTTGACTTGTAGCACGCTCCTACCTGGCAGGTGCCAGTGCCACCCTGTGGATAGCCAGCACACAAGTTGTGGGCGTGGATGGCCCCTCTATACCACCGGCTGCTGTTACAGAGGTTGACATCAATGAGGCGGACCTTGGCCTCCTGCAGGATATCAGCTGATCCTCCAGCTGTGAGCACAGAAAGGAATTAACACCCAGCAGCTCGTTGCCAGTTCTCCTCCCCTGTCTGGGTGAACCTCTTCCCTAGGGCTTGGCTGTGCATCTTGAGAGGCATTGTACTGATGTTTCCCTTCTGTCTTGCTTTGCGTAATGGGTCAGGCCCATCTCTCTACAGGCATATGTCTGTGCAGCCTGACTCTGGCTTTTGCCTCTGCTCTCAGGAAGACTAGCCCATCTCTCCAGTGTGCTAAGCTTGCACTCAGGACATGAGCACTTTTTGGGAGCTCACATCTTGCAGTCAGGGGGAACCCCAACCACTGATGTAGCAGGTTGTCAGCTCTGACACTGTCAGTGAGGTGTTGGGCACACAGGCAAGCTGTATGTAGTAGCTGCACTGGACAGGCTGATCCAATTCCGGCAACACAATGTCATTCCTCTCTGAGATATTACTATAATGTTTGTGAATCAGTAGCCGCTTAATATTGCGCACTTGGGCCTCAGGGCCCAGCTGAGTCAACTGGATGTCCCCGATCACCATGTGCCACATTGTGATGTGCCTGGAAGGCAGATGGAGAGAGGAGTCAGAGGAGGTGGAGCCATGTGTTGCAGCAGCGCAGCAGTTCCCTGCCTTCTGCTTCACAAGAGAGAGAGGAAAGCAGTGCTACAGAGGGTGCGACTGCTCTAGCATGTCTTAGGCATGAGGAATGTCGAACTGGAGGTTGCTAGGAAGCAGTGGAATGAGCCCAGCCTTCTCCTGAGCAGTCTTTCAGCTGGGCTCTGGACCTGGCACTGGGTGTACTGCAAGGAAACGGGATGGGAGCAGCGCATGGTGCTGCAGACAGGGCACCTGGTAGTGTTGAGGGGATATGCCCTTTCTTTGGTCCTCCTTACCTTGCCTTGAAGCAGTGAGCTGCTGTGAGGACCCACTGTGGGCTGATGAGGGACCCTCCGCATATATGCCCCATGCCTATTTTCCAGGGATGCTGGATGCTGACGATCCAGCACCAGGCTTGGCTGTGCATCTCTGCCACCCACGACGTGCTGTAGTGAGAAGCCGTAGGCTGGAGCCCACACGTCTCTCTGTAACCAGAAACTCATTACTGCCCTGCTCAATGGCTTGCTGATGTTCAGGCTGAAGGTCAGCCGTCTTCCCTCCCCACAAGGGGTTGCATGGACAGCAGGGCCAGGGAATCCTGTGGTGTATGCATGCGTCTGTCTGCCCGCCTCTGTTTCTGCTTTAGCCCCGTAGATGAGTTGTCCCAGCAGCCTGGGTGCTGGCAAGGAACTGACATTCCCACATGGGGTTTGGGAAGCAGTGGTGTGGCCACAGGGGACAAGCAGGCACCCTCCAATGAACCCCATAAGGATTGCCCAAGCTCCCTCCCGGAGCCTTGGGCCACTTACACACAGTTGTCCCATGTGCCATTTGCAGGCCAGCACTTAGCCAGCAGGATGAGGAGAGGGAACAAATTCACCAGTGCCAGTGGCGTGTGGCAGCTGCAAGAACTGAGGGCCCATCGCTACCAGTGGAGCAGCCAATGTAGTGCCTGCAGTACTCACATTGCCTGCGGTGCCCTTGGCCCCAGGGCTGATGTCACAGAGTTGCTGTTTCTGGCTGCTGGGCATGGCGGCCTCTCGGGGTGGGTGGGGCAACATGGGGGGTTCCAAGCAGGAGGTGAGGCAGAAGCTGGGATTGGACACCCGCAATAGACCCCCGCTGAATGCTCTGTTTTCAGGATGAGGTGTGACGGATGCGCTCGACCCCTTGACCAGACTGATGGTGGTTTGGTGCGGGCTCCAGAAGAGGTAAAGGCCTGAGCCGTAGCCAGGCGATGAACTCTAGTTTCAACCTGTTTGAAAAGCAGCCACAAACGAGCAGAAGGATGCAGTGAGCATTGATGCATATGAGCTGGAAACACCTGTCATGTGATTAACACATGAACAGCAGGTGGCTTTTCAAGACTCATTTATAAAGGAACAAAGAAAGTTGTGGGAATAAGGAATCTCCTGTGTACCTTTTCCATCGCATGTAACTTGACTACAAGCCAACCACTTTATCCTATAAATATGACAGCCTAAGTAAGCCTTCTTTGAGCTCTCCCTGCTAGGCAGTGTGGCTGCATGGCAGTGATCTCCCCTTGAGCTGGGACGCCTCTCAAGATTGCTCCTCAAGGTAGAGAGACCTTTTACCAACGACAGATCTTTGGTAAGTGACCGACATTGAGCCTAACCTTGTAGTATGGTAACTTTGATTTTGTCTTGATAACTTTGTTTGCATGCTGAATTGAGGCTAATGGAACATTACATAAACTTTGCATGTACAGTCCCTTAGAGATAAATAGTTGACCAAGTCTGAGACTAAGATTGGACCTAGCTGCACCCAAGCTCCATCAGGAGTTTAGAAAGCAAGGGGGTCTACTCTGAACCTCGTGACTCAACAGGAGGGTCTTTTTTTCTCTTTGCATCTCCAGTCTCTCATGAATCATTCTAACTCAAGTGTAACTTTTTTCCTTTGTATGATTCTTCCATGCAGTAATCAATAGTGAACCTTACCATCAAACTTTGTTAAGTCGCACTTTTACAACATCATATTAAAACCACTTTTGCTAATACCTTTGTCAGTGATTCCTTAAGCATTCTAAATCACCCGTTCACAACACTGTATGTCACTGAACTATTTTCTCCTCTGTTCATTTAAAACCTAGATCTCATTAAATACTTCCCAGGTGTCAAGTCCTGAGCCAGTAAAGCACTGTGAGAAGTCAGCACTATTCCAGTTGGCAGAGGTAAAGTTATATCCATTAGCATCACAATGGGAAGATGTGTGTATCTTTTCCCCCAAAGAGTACGAATTGTGTAAGCATTGCTCTAGTATCAAATTTATTATTTCTAGAAGCATAAATTAGTAAATAATGGAATTGTAAGAGAATCAAGCAGTGGCAATGGCTCTAGGGACCTAGCTTTTCTTTATACACCTGTTAATGTGCATAGTTTCTTGAAGACCACACAGAAAGTTACGCTTCTTTTTAGAAAAATTAGCCTTATAACTATAATAAAAACAATGCTCAGGAGAATAGCAAAGACAAGAGACAACGTCATTCTTCTTAATGAGGAGCTGGGTAACAGGATTCAAAACGTAAAGCTTTGGTTGGGGAAGTTTAAGTTGGATATTAGGAAAAACTTCTTCACCGAAAGGGTAGTCAGGCATTGGAACAGGCTGCCCAGGGAAGTGGTTGAGTCTCCGTCCCTGGAGGTATTTAAAAGATGGGTAGACATGGTGCTCAAGGACATGGTTTAGTGATGGACTTGGCTGTGACAGGTTAACGGTTGGACTCGATGATCTTAAGGGTCTTTTCCAACCTTAACGATTCTATGATTCTATGACTGGAAGGTGCATTGCTGAATTGGGGACCAAGAATAAGAAGAGAAAAGTAGACTTTTAGATCATCAGAGATCTCTATGAAGAGTTGAAAGTTGAAGTAGTGTATTAAATTCTGAAATTGGCAGCTGCCAGCAGTAATCAAGAGTACTAGGTCAGGTTTTCCAACAGTCCTAGCAATTCTCTGTGAGTCTTAAATATACCTCGTAGAGGTCTCCCCTTTGATATGGATGAATTACTCAAAAACCTTTGAGGCATGGTGTGCAAATATTCTTTTTGATGATTGAGAGATGAAGAAACATGCTGCATTCCAGGTAGATAAGAGAGGATGCTAGCACCTTGCTTGTACACTGTTTTTGCCTTCCTCCCCCCCCCCCCCCCCCCCCCACATCCCCCCCCCCCCCCCCCCCCCCCCCTTCAAAATCACTTCCTATTTCAGTGAGGAAAATGGTTCTCTCAGTCCCATCTAGTGGCATCCAGCCTTATATTCTTGCTGGTGAGGTTAATCCCTCTCAGGGGAAAAAAAGACAGAGATTGGATGCACTGAAATAAAAGTATTTCATGCCTTGTTCCATGGATAGTAATGCTACTATCTGACTTTACAGGAACTTACATGAGTGGAAGAAAACCTGTCTTACCCTACAGGCAGTCCCTGGCAGTAGTAGAGTTTGTGGGTGTGTGCTATATTGTCAGCAGTGCCTATGCAAGGGTGATTACACCTAACTGTGATCAGCGATCCATAAGGGCATTTGACTACTGCAGCCCTGGGACAGCAGAAAGGCTGGTAACACTTAGTCAAGGACACCAGAAGTTTTTGAGGTGTCCTCTTACAGGACAGCAGCAGGTCTTGAGTAGTGCTGTTCTGGAGTAAGGCTGTTGCTGAGTCCAGCCTGACTTTTGGAAGTCAGCATTAAAAGTTGTGATGTGACTGTGAAACTTGTGAAGACCTAATTTGGGGGAAGGACAGGTGCTTGTCCACAGGAGTGTGGAGTTTGCACTGCAGTTGGCGGAAAAAGTGAAGCTGAGTCTGTCAGCATGACGTTTGCATGTTGGACAGGTTTCCGTAATCTCTCTCTTAGTGATTGCTCAAATGGATTCCTACAAGCCTAATTTAATATACAAAATGAATGTTAAAGGCTCTGATTCAAACTGAGAAAAGTGTGGCAGACATGCTAAGGACATCCTCCTTGTCTCTAGCTCTTGCAGTATATTAGTGCTGTTGATTTTTTTTCTAGTTTTGGAGGTCTCTGTAATGTTGGATTGTAATTGGATACATAAAACGTGAGAGATTCAGCTTAACTTTTCAGATAGCTGTTCAGGACCTGGTGTGGAGCGTCCCAAGTAAATCGTGTTCCTTATCACCTTGAGGGTGTCTTAGGTTTGCAAGGTTATTTGGCAGACATCTGTGCCATGCTACTGTAACTCCAAACCGCAGATGCTGTGCACTGGAGGGGATTGGACAGCTGTCTCCACGCTGCTGACTTGGCAGGGGTCTGGTGCATGAGAGCCTGTCTGCTTCAGCACGCCACACTGTTCTGCTCCTCCTTCATCTCTCTGCTATGTGGATTAACTAACTTCATCTTTTTTCTTTCTTTTCCCCTCCTTCCCTATGTCTTCCTTTTTTTATATTTCACAGTATTTCACAGATGGTGATAAAATGCAGAAGTGGGTTAAATTATTTTTTAAAAAATTCTGAGAATTTCTAAGTTTCTAAAAATGGTTGGAGCAGCTGCTAAGCAGTCTGAAGCCTGGGAAGCTGTTGCTGATCAGCTCTGCTCAGTCTCTTGCTGTGCCTAAATGCATGCTTTGTCTTTAGCCTTCAGCACGGAGGCATGAGAGTGAAGGAGGGCAGTGGTGAGGTTGCCGGGTCACCTCCATAAGACAAGGAGGCCACTTCTGCCGCAGAGGGCTAACAGCACTAACAAGGCTTGGCTGTAAGCGGCGTTTGGACACTTGAGCTGTAATGGTCACAGCTTGGGAGATTTCTAGTTCTTGTTCTTTTCTAGTGCATGCCATTTTTGGTATTGATTTTTATATTTATATAATTAGATGTGGAACAGTCACTTTTGCAAAATTAGACTTGTGCTAATACCAAGTGAGTTCTGACTTCAAATGCCTTTCATTGTTTTGTGGTATATATTTGATGGAATGACTTCAATGAGCATGAATGAATTGCTTTACAGTATGATAATACAGTGGTTAGTTAAGCAACATCTGTTGGGAACAAGATCCCCTCATCTACCGTGATCTGGCAGTTGAAGTTGTAATAGCAGCTCCTTGGATTTCTTGCTACAGTATTTACCTGTTCAAGTGTCTAAAAATCTTGCAGGTGCTACATTGTTTGGGAATGGCATGCTAGAGTGCTACCTCAAGTCATGTAGCCCAGAACTGCCTTCTGCTCTCGGCTAGGTTCATACATGAGAGCTTAATTTTTATCCTTGTTTGCATCTCTTAAAAAGCTTTGGAATATTTTCATCCATGTCTCAAGGGAAGGTCAGTAACATAACTGCAGGCACGTTACAAGCCTGATATAAGCAGTTTTGGCACAGCCCTGGGGAGGAGGCCATGGACCATTTGCCTCTAGCTGACAGTAAGGGCTCTTTACACTAAGCCAGATGGCTGCACTGAAGCAGATGGTGAACA